CCCTGTTACTGTACCTGTATTGGCGCTCTTTGTCAAGGCCTCTGTTGTGACAGTTTTTTGAATTGGCATGGGTAAAGCATAGCAAACTATGAATCGACTGGCATGTTGATTCTAGAAACAAAGCAAGTCAGTTTGAAAGTGCACCAGGTATTGTGTGGCAAAGTCACATGGTATGGTGATGTCAGAAATTTAGGCATTAAATGGCGCCTGCAGCACAGCAAAAAAGGGCAATGTGCAGGCACACCATGTGTAATTGAACTGGATACTGTCACAACTGCACACCATTTCATGGGTTTGGTGCAGTAGTCACTGCAATTATGCAGAATGGGCAGGCAGTAAGTCTATAACACTGTGAAGATAATGTATTTTTCCAAGGCGAAAAATGATTGACATTAATGCACAAAATGATTAATAATGCAGAATTAATGCAGAACAATGCAGAATTAATGCAGAATTAATGCATTTTTGATCATTTTGTGAAATAAATGTAATCATTTCTCACCTCGGAAAAATACATTATATTTGCAGTGTAAACAGGTATTGGTGTATTTTTGCGGTAGAAATCTGGGGTTCTAGGACTGGATCGAGTGAAAATGAGCAGTGAATAACAATGCATTCACTGCAATTATGTGGGCTGGCTCTGGTGGAACATGTATGCATTACGACAATGTTGTATTTTCATGGTATAAATCGGGTCCCTACAACTGGATTGAATGAAGATGACAGGTGAATAACAATGCATTATGTATTATGGTGGATATATAGAGATCTGGAAACTCAATATATGACAGTGTAAAATACAGACTTGTAACTCATGTTTTATTGGTCTTGCAAATGTAGGACAAAAGCATGTTCAGAGAATGAGATAATATTATGATGTCAAAATCAGTGCAAAGCCTTGCTGCCAATAACTTTGGAGGAGATGAGGCTTGCAGTAAATGATTTGTATTTTGGATGTTTAATAAAGGACCAGTCAAGTGTTGCACAGAGACACACAAATTGAGTTGGACCTACCCTGATTTCCCATGTATTAGTGTCCATGTTATGACCAATTACAGTGCCCCGTAGTGTGATTATGTTACCAATGGCCAGTGCATTAATACATAGTGAGGCAGTAAGGTCAGATCCGATGATGTAATCAGCAAAGAATTCCACGGGGCAATATATATGAAGTTTGATCAAAAGGAAGGAATTTGGTTAGTCAGAACCATAGATAAGTATAATTTTGGAGCTTACGCTACCAATTGAGCTTTGGTGGAGGACTTTGATTACTTCAACATATGGACCGCCGCCATGAGGGGGACAACTGCTCCATTCAGCAATTTCTCCAACACTCTGTGCTGAAACTCTATTGTGCAACAAACAAAGATCAACAATGGCGTGACTGATACTGATTGCATGATTTGGATCTTCAAGAATGGCAAATGCATTGCTGTTTCCTCCCGCTGCAACTTTGCTGTCAACCAATAAGTGTGGTGGGTGTTGATGGAAGTTTCACCACGCTTAGCAACAATCAATAAAGTGACGCCTTGAAGCAACCCTGTATCAATTAACACATTGCTTTCAAAATATTTGGATTGAGATTTGCTGTGA